GCAACGTCGTTCGAATGTCCCCTAATGGTCTATGCTTGGTCACGTTATTGTACAATTGCAATATACAATAGAAATGTAGAAATATGTGCCTGCATGTTTGTTATTTTTGTGAAAAATTCGCATTACGGATCCTTCGTTTCAAGCTTGAGAGCAATCTTGCATTGCTGCACTATTAAAAATTCCTCTGTCGACAGATCGTCGAGTTCTAAGTTATTGTTGTGTAAGATTGCTAATTTAGTTGTGGCGATGTCTCTCAACTATAGAGTATCTCGAAAGAAGCTCTCATAGGCAAAACTCATTTGTCTGCTAGTGAAGTCGTTCGAAGGAAAATATGTAAAGCAAACTTGAGCTAATCAGCATAATAATGAATTGAAACTCATCTATGGCTAATAACGCTCAAATACATGTTACGCAAAAACAAGCCAAGATCGATTTCAACTTCAGCGACGGGAAAAGTTTGCACATTGGTTGAACTCAGGTTGGAAGACAACTAACAGATAGTGTCGTGTTTCACTACGAGTTGCAATATTCCTCGATAACAACGAGGTTTTGTAAAGAATGGTGGGTGGATATAAGACAGACTTCCCCCAGTCTGTGAGCGCGGTCTCCCACTCAATCCTATTACTAGTCGAATCGCTCGGCCACGTTCCTCTTTCTCGTGGAAGATTTACTAACGCCTGTCCCTACTATTTGAATTTGAATTATTACAGTAGAACAGAAGGTGAAAATTTCGGGTAAAGACACCAAGCACACACCCGACACACTTTATAAGCGCACCTCGCTCATCACAAGCGGGGTTCCGCCAAACTTATTATGTTTAAGTAAAGTGATTCATTCCCTCTTCTTCCAGCTTGATTCCGCAAATTCACTGAGATTGCGCTCATTTCACGCACGCTCTGCCTGCACATGTAGAGCCTTGTCCTGCCACCTACCATAAGTATTCCTATACTGTCTCTGTAATACTACCAGATTTGAGCGATATAACCTTTCGAATTAACATTTTCTCGCGCAAGCCTCCCTCCATGAGCGAAGGGAGTGTGGCCATGCCATGATGACTTTAGATGAATCTTGGCATGATATGAGTCTCGGTATAAAGGTGTTTTTGTATGGCCTCATCCAAGATGCTATAACTCTTTATTCTATTTATTCGGCCAACCTTTCGCCACTGTCGCCTTCATCAGGACCTGGAAGCCAAGAGGCATGTGAGATTCGTCCATATCGAACACCATTTCAGACCTCCTTAGTTCAAGTGTAACCTACAGATACCTAAAAGGGTCTCGTAAATCACAACTGGAAACCCATCTTGGAAATAGAGAAGATGGCATGTGGACCATCTTTCCACTACCTATTCGAACGATTTCGCAGTTGGTGGGTCCGGGTGACCTGAACCCCGACTTGAAGCTGGTAGCAATGGTAGCCCACGTTGCGCATGCGCGTCAAGTTGGCCTAGCCCGCCAAAACGTTCATGTCCCATGCGGCCAAAAATCCGAAACGCGCGCTGTCGCCAATAGGTTAAAGGAAATTCGATATTACCTCAAGGACCACCTGCAGAAGTCGGTTCAAGTTTGGGATGTCTTGGACATAGGAAAAAACCAACAGAACACCTGTGAGCTCAGCAGGGCTCCGCTCACAGGGGACGGAACAGGCACGAAAGTGGGTGGTGTCTTGGGCAAAACGTCTAAATCAGGTTCCATAACAGCCCAAACGCGTAGAAAAAATGGGGTGGGTCACAAGTGAGCTGGAGGAGACTCACCGGCGGTGAGCGAAGCGTTCTTGCAGTGGGAGGTGCTTACCACATGCTACTATATATAATTTGCTAATTGTAAGTGTGTCTGTTGGTTTGTCGGTGTGTGTGTTCAGTGTGTGTATCCGACCGGAAATTCATACCTCCTGCTCCCGTGATCTAGAGAGTTCAAATTTGATAGGAGTACGGGGGCAGGATGGGAATACTTATGGCAAGTAGCAAGACCGGGCACCGCCTATAAGGGGCGGTGCCCGGTCTTGCTACTTGCAGCAGTAGTGCGCGCAAAGCATAGGGTTGAGCGGTAATTCATGACACCTGCCTCATGGACCTAAAGAGTTGAAACTTGATAGGACTACAGCTTTTTCTATAACTAGCGGAACCTCGCCATTTTAATAAGCGGTGTAGAATAAAACAGGTACTCGGTAACAGGAACTGATAATTACTGACAAAAGAACATAAGGGGTCAAGAAAGCAACAGCCACTCACCGTAAAATCCTCACGCGTTCGGTATTTACGATGAAGCTTTGACTGTTCTGTATGTTTCATTCGACAGTACAGGATGGTAGAGTAGGAACCCGGGGTCTAAGAGCAAGATCCACCTACCGATCAAAACCTTCACGCGTTCGGTATTCACGATGTAGCTTTGACTGTTCAATATGTTTTATACGATAATACTGGATGGTAGAGTAGGGGGTGTAGTGCAGTAGGAACAAAATTGTCGCGTTGCAACAAGAGGGACGCCGCGCTCGAAGGAATGTGGCAGAATGAGACAGCTGTTAAGAAATTCAGGAGCAAATCATTTAATAGTAGAATCATGCCTAAAATAAGGATCACATCGAATGAGCTGTATGAAGAACGCTAGAGCTGTAATAACGGCGAAGGAATGGTCCGCGACAGCCGTGTGCGGCGAATCGATTACAAAAAACCGCTCCTAGTGCCCGTCCCGTCTCCCAGAGTAGGGTGACAGAAGTGAGTGGTAAAAACAGTGATAGGGACCCATTAGTGGCACTACGATAAGCAGATAAGATTTTTGTTCATTTATTGCTATCAGATTACGACCGCTATCCAGCAAGGTTTGTGACTCGATGTGGAATCCCTTTGTATGATATCATTTGCGACGAAACCTAAGAGCACGGTTCACGGTGGAAATGTTTAGAGTTCTCCACCTAAGAATACTCAGTGGACACAATGGTAATAGAGAGGACCCTTTCGTCCCCAAAACCTTGACGGTTAGGGCATAGTGGGAGCCCTGTTCCCGGCTCGCGCGGCCTTCCCGCCCCTCGATCGATGTCACGTCAGGCGAGGGTAAAGGCGATACAGATTGCAATTATTCTTTCTAGGACCCACTCACAATCAGCTGATCGCCGAATGATGAGGCTCCTTTTTCTCCCATTCCTTTTTCCTCTATTATCCCAAGAGGCTGAAAAAAGTGAGCTGTTCTTGCTGTTACTAGGTTTTTTTTGTTTACTTATGCTTATAGGTGAATGAATTTTTGCGTACCATAGTCAGTTATTTGCACCAGGACCCACATGTACGCAATGACCCGCATTGTGTAGTTCGTCCAAAGATCGAACTTTTCTTCATTCTTCTGGTCTCATTCTCGCCCAGCCCCCTTTTTAACGAATTTTCGAGGCTTTTTTCACCTTGAAAACACCGATTCACGCAGTTCCTTCCCCTTCGTCGCACTATTTTCCATTTTATCTTCCATTTTTTGTCATAATCTGGATTATCCAAAATTATCGTGAACTGTGCCTTTAACTGACCGCAGTTATCAGAAATTCTCAACTAGTGATACCTTTGTAAAGAAAAAGATCCATTGATAACGACATCTGATAATGACGTTATCCTCACTCGAAACTTTTGTGAGTACCGCTGAAGGCTTTTGTCCCGGTTTGGGGACAAGAGCTTTTTTGGTTTGTGGCTAGCTTGCCTTTACCCTTTTCTCGGGTTGTGTGTATTGTGGCTTATACACAGTGGCTATGTGCAACTTTATTGAAAGCACAAGAAGCCCCGTATCGGCGGTGCAACGGGTATTTATATCCAGCCGATACGGGATGACAAACAAGTGGATTATCAAGGGTCAAGGGGTTGTAAATAGTCTATATGATTAGCAAAGGTCACATCGCTAAGAAATTGTGTAAGGGGTTATCACGGGTCACACGGGGCAAATAATCTACACCTTTATCAATGGTGACAACGGTGGTAAAAGGTTATCGAGGGTTAAAGGGTCACGCAGAGCGAGACAGCTTTGTTCAAAACCAACAGTTCAATTATTATGGAGAGCAAAAGGCCGAGGCTTGCAATTAAAGGCGTGAGCACCTACTTACACTGAATACGTCTTTACTGCCCTGTTAGTCCTGTGTCAAAGTTTGTGTGCAGGAATCGTTTCAAAGAGGTAGTGAAAAGTCAGCCGAGTACTATGACTCCGCCGAAGAAGGAGGAAAGCCTACTGGTAATATCGTAAGTTGATTCAACGGAAGCGTGGAGGACAGGAAAAAATAAAAGAAGTGAGCAAGGCCTTATGCGTGCTGGGCATTCGTAAACATGTCGCAGCACCGCCTACAATGGGCGGGACATGCATTAAAATGTTAGGTCTTTTTTGTAAAACCCCTGGAACTGGAGGGGTTTGCGACCCGAAGATTCATAGCTCTGTCTACAAACATTTTAAAATGCGGAGAAAATGGTTAGGGGCAGCAAGGGGCAGGGAAAAGGGAAATAGTCAAACTTTTATAGTAGGAAAGGTCTGCACTGAGGTGGACGGGGCTATGATCAACCACTAATATTCCTGCTATTTCGAGCGGATGCCGTCAAAACGGCACTAGCGTCTGAATCTAAGGAGAACTCTCACTTTGGTACATCAAATATTCTCCTGAATGACTCCATCGCATCGCAGATGACCAGTCGTGGATATACAATGCTTGCGTTAGCGTGACAAGACGGATTTTATCGTCCCGTGAATGTGTTACACAGTAACCCGAACACACACTCAAGCGCCTTCAAACACCTGTCACATATGCGACGCAACAAAAAGGTACCCCAGGCGGAGCCCAAGGGGTTGGGTGGTGGAGTACTGTATCACAGGTTCACGGGAGTTCCTCTAAAATCCCTCTAATTTAGATGGAACAGCCCAACTGATCATAAGTAAGCGGTATTAAGACATATCCAAAAATGACTCACCTCGAATAGGTGTAACAATAACAATAAGTTTTCATAGTAATAAGAAAGTGAATCGTGGAAGGTTTGATTGTAACAAAAAAAAAGGATTTGGAAGAGGCAGTTAAAGAGGCCCTACGGCTCGCGCTCTAAGCAAACAGTGCGCCCGAGTGAGATATATAGTTCCTATAACGCGTGCACGAGACTTCAAATCCGTCTTGTAAGGATGCCAATCGCAAAGTTAAGCTCTCCTCCCTGTGTTATTATATAGTGTCGACTTTTAAGCCTTTTGAGTACATATGGTCCAGTTTAGTGTTGAAAAAATTGTAACTGTCTAGGTATCAGCGATGGTTGGTAAAAAACGACCAAAGGAAGCAATCAACAAAAAGAAATCCAAGAAAGTCCGAAAAGTGAACCCATTCGAACTGAAGTTCAATAGACTGAAACATGACGTAGGCTTCAGATTCATTGGATAATCTGCTTCAAGAGTTTTTAAACTGCATGCGACTTAAGGTGCTCGGCAAGAAGAAGGGTACCGTGGACGTTGGACACCCTGGGCTATCACGTAAACGTGCTTATGAACAACGAAAAAAGACATTGGGAGTCGAATATGATCGCATTGGGAAAGTAAATAAGGTAATGAGGATCTAAGTACAGTTTTTCTTTTGAATTCTTGATTCATCATCATCAACCCCCCGTATGGGAAACGGGTAGTTGAATTGGTCAGAGCCAGAGACCTAACTGCACTTAGTTCTTTACACTGGCTCACTACAGCTGTTTTTTTCCAATTTTACAGAACATGCGGCTGATTAGTTTCCGGTAGATCGTTAGTATTGTTATCCCGAGATGTTGAATGAGGAAGGAGAAGAGCACACCCCGCGGAACGAATTTAATTAACAGCTTCAATAGAAGAAAAATCAGAATGGGTTCTTTGGATGGTTTATTCAAACAAGAAAACAGGAAGACATCTCTCCTGACGTACTTCTGAACCTACACTTCTACACTTATAGTGGGTACTATTCAACCGGGCTCTCGCCGAAGGGGTCACCCTCGACTGATTGAAACAGAAGAAGGAGCATGGATATAAGCAGCTTTCCTTCTCCAGATCTGCAATACTCATTTTCACCTTTCGAAGATGCCTTAATTGCTAATGTATTACTTGTTGATTAACTATGGCGTTCTGCTACTATTTTTAGATTGTCGATCGGCGCATCGGCGAAAAGAATAAGAACATCACAAGTGAAGAAAAAGCTTCTTTGAGGTGAATTGAGATAAGGTTTTCCTCGAAGAACTTCAATCTTTCAAAATGAGTTTATAGGTTTGCGGCAGAACGCGCAAAACATTTGAAGAAAGGCAGCAAATTCAATTTGACTGATGTCAACGAAGAAGAAGACGAGGGTATAGCCATTTCTTTTGTGTTGAATCGCCTGACTTCTCCTCAGCACTGTGCATTCTTTCAGAGTTGCTAACTCATGGTGGCAGAGCTCTTACCGATATTCAGAAATACGATAAAACCATTGTTTCCGATGACGATGACGACGGTAATATTGGCGCTGATGTGGTTAGTCTGAATTAGTACTTGTGAATATCTCTAGAACAAAGAGCTCTTTGTGGGATATTTTACTGAAAGACGACAATGGCATAACTCTAAACGACAAGAGTGTGGTGCATTTTCATTCTGAGACCGAAAAACTAGTTCATTGTGTTTTTTCTTCATGAGGAGCACCGCTGATTTTTTATTAGATTCAGAAAGCTATTCCAGGTGAAAGTTGCTCATTTTGGTGGAGGTGAATTGGATAATTCAACAAAACCTGACGTAAAGCTCAGCCGCAAAGATGTGATTGCCGATTTGATCGCAAAAACTAGGCAAGTTCGAGAAGAAAAACATATTGCAAAAGATGAATTGGTTAGTCATAATATAACGTTGATTCTTTGTTGCTCTTCCTTGTGATCTCTCGGGTCTTTATCAGGAAACAATCACTGAAGATTTGGATGCCAAATACCATAGGCTCTTGGGTAAAGTAAAAACCGTGTTTCGTCCAGTTGGAGCAACTAAAGCTGAAAAGAGCGAAAAAGACGACTATGACAAACTGGTAAGTTCTGATAGGCTGCTTTGATGTCGAGTTCAATTCATTCATGTAATTGTGCTTATTTCATTTTTCGTGAAGCCTGTTTTTAAGCATTTTCCTTTTAGAAAAGCAATCCTATTTATGACGGTGCAAATAGGGTTTTCACTCCCTAATGGAAAGAATAAGCGTCTTTTCCCAACAGTGGCATAATATTGAACAACTGCTTCTGCGAATTTCAGTTTTTATTTTGGTCAGGCAATCAGTCTCAAAATAGATGCTGACTCAAGGGCTACACCAGCAGAACGCACAAAAACCGTTGACGAGTTAGCAGCAGAGGAGCGATGTTATTTGGAAGAGATGGAATCTCTCAGAAAAGCAAGGATGAATGAAGAGGTACTTTGCTCCATCCTGCACTCATTTCCTCTCAGTCATCGTGTTACTGGCAAATTTATTGGAGCGTTGTTATATTTTAAAATTACGGAATTAATATAAGGCTACTCTCCAACAACTTGAACTTTTCAGAAAAACAAAAAGCGGCATCACTCAATTGATGCAGAGGGCGCTGATGGGCAAGAAAAGAAAAAAAAGAAAGCTGGATTCGAAGTGCGGTTTGGTTACGACGGAAAACTGTTGAATACAGATAAGGTAGTAGGAATAGCGCCATAGCGTCTTTAAGCAATGCTTACCAATCAGAAGTACGGTATTTTAGTTGGAGCCTGTAACCAAAAAGAAAGTAGCTATAGACTCTGATGACGAACTGACCGATGAGGAAGACGAGGATCCTAACGAGGAGGAGCTGAATGAAATACTGGAGGAGCATGACGGTTTGGTTTTCTTATCCTAATCCTGACTTTCCGTTTCTGACATTGTGTGTAGTAAATGCTTGAATGTAAAAGTGGAGGTAATTAGGAGTTTGATAATGAGTTAACAAAAGCGATTATTTTATTTGAGACTGGACCCATTGTTCTAGATTTATTACGTCTTCATTCCCTTTATTTGATTCTACAAAACCAGTCAGTTTAGATGAAGAGCTGTTGGAGAGTGCTGCGAATGATGCAGTAGGAGAAAATGGTAATGCTAGCATTGAAGAAGAAGGCAGCAGAGATAATTCCCTCAAGAATCACGTCGAAGGAGCTGAAGTGGACAACGAACAGGGCCAAGTTGCTGCAGGAAAAACGAAAAATCTTCATCAACGAGTTGAACTAGGTCATTTTTCATCTATTATTCATACGAATACATTGTTTATCAAGATAGATAGATAAATGTTACTGGTTTCAGCCCATTGCGATCTCGACGTGCCTTTTCTTTTTGAAATGCCAAAGAAGTACGATGCTTTTGTGGAACTCTTGAGCAAATATCCCGCGGAAAAGATTGATATTGTTTTGCAGCGGTGTGTTCTCCTGCAGTCTATTTCCTTATTCTTCACTTAATCACTGTTTGAGAGTTTCTGTGCATAATCTATTGAATAGTTCGGTCCTTTGTTCTTCTGTTCCTGACCGTCCCCAGCGTACAAAGCTCTAGCCCTTACTAGATGTTTTTTCAGTCTTATAAAATGCTATCATCCTAGTCTAGCAGAGGGCAACAAGAAGCTTCTGTCAAAGTTATTCCTCTACCTTTTGCGGTACTATGACGACTTGTCAAACAGTCCTTTATCCGATGATTCAGTGAAGGTGCTTGGATTTTTGACTAAGGCAATGTACTCAGTCATAAAGGTAGGCTGAAAATATTCGCAAACAAAATGGTTCTGATTTATTTGAAATGCATTCATTTACAGTTCGATGTGGAGTTCGGTGTCAGATGTGTTCGTGCCTTAATACGGCAAAAGTGGAAAAAGCGTATGAACAAGCCAAAGTCGCCTACAGAGTTTTCCCTGATCTCTTTGCTGAGGTTTGGAAAGAATATTTGAAATTGAGTGATGTATACGCCTTTAGTTTTGTTGCTGAAGAATGTTTGACTTCTAGGAAGAGCTCTCCTTCTGGGATTTCGTAAAAAGCCTAAAATAGCTATAATTTCGCACGAATGCGTCTTGGTGCAACCACACCTTTCCTATTTCTGCTTCTTGAGTGCGACTTAACTCTGGCGTGAGATGAGCAGAGGAAAAACTAGAATTGTGACTATGCAATGTGCTCTATCAGGCCGGCAGTGTCGCTGTTCTCGAAATTCATTTATCTGAAACCTGGAGGGACATCTTTTCAGGTTGATTGCGTCCTTATTTCCTGTCAGTGACAGGTGGCACCCAGTTTGTACTCCAGCCATGGCACTAGCAGCCGTGTCCCTTGCAAAGTGTCAGATAAGGGATTTAACGATTCTAACTCGCCAGATTCTGCTTGCTACGGTACTCAGTGACTATGTGGAGGAAAGTAAGCGGTGAGTACCCTCATCTTCATCTTTTCTAGATAAAGCTACGGGATTCAGGTATATACCTGAGGCGATAGCGTTTTGCCAAGGAGCTCTCCTCGTTGCGGTAGAAAATGAAGAGAGTGAGCATATTCCATCTGTTGCGTTCCCTATTTCAATGCCCCATAGGAGGATGCTTCTTATTAGTAAGGTAAGCTGGTTTTCGATCCTGTTTTTTCTTTCCATCAAAGGTTGAAAGAGAGTTATTTATTCTTATCTGGTCAGAATCGCCGATTGGCTTGATGTTTTTCTGCTTAACTCGGTCTCTCTTTGTGTTTTAATTATTCGTCATTTTGTTTCTGTGCAACACTGTAACGGTAGTGATGAGGTAGTGGGAACTGCTATTAAGGAACTTTTTCAGCTCCAAGTTTGCGGAAAGTATTAATAGTTGGAAGGAGGTTGTATTACTTAAGTTTCTTCGCAATTTACTTTTAGTTTTCCACTCGATCTTACAGTTTTGTTGACTAATAGCCTCCTTTCCAGGATATGTCACGGGATTCCGAAGTGAAGCCGATAGAAATACGCAAAGCGTTTACAGAAAATGAGACGTAAGTGTAAATCTTATTTTTGTCTGTACTGTCATTGTCTGTCACAGTTGACACAAATTTTAAGAAAAGATTTGGGGCCTGTGTGCCTTGGGGGTGCTAGCAGAAGACATTTAGGATTTGATAATACGGTAAAAATAATTTTTTCGCATATCCGGTTTCTTGGACTGCCGGATATTTTCGTTATAGGCTATTCACTTTTGTATTCACTAAAATTTTATTGCACCCCACAGGGTGGCATTTTTGATATTATTTAAGTTTCCTAAAGGAAAGACAGTTTGTCAAGCCGACTGTTCCCTTTCAGATGTGTGGACGATTCCGATTTAAACAAGTGTGCTGTATTGCGAGCACTTACAGCTCTTATACAGAAGTACCGTATTTTATATGCTGCCCATGAACACACTTTCACAGCCACATTTTCGTGAGTTTTGGTCCTCTACTTGTTTGACCAAATTACGTTCTCGCGCTCATTTTAGACCCTTTGTCGACCTTCTGAAACGGCTTCCAACAGGTCGTATGCCTTCACTTCTGGCTGAAGAAGTAGAAGCACTCACTCGTTCGATGGAAGCGGAATGTATGTTACGATCGCGGCTTACTCAAATGAGTCGTACGGTCACTGAAAAGAGGTATGCCAATCGTGAATAAGTGTCGATACTTATTCTGAGAATGGGAATTTGCAGCATGTTGAAAATGTTGGAGCCCCGATTTGAAGATAACTTTGATCCTGAAAGACCGCGCATGGGCCGTGAAAAGAAACGACAAGGGGCACGTGCAGAGAAAGAGAAGCTGCGGCATCTGGTGAAAAATGAAACTCGTGGCGCCATAAAGGAACTGCGCAAAGATGCCGCATTCTTGAATAGGTTAGTTTCTGTGTATATAATAAATTTTATGACAGAACAGTCCTGTCCTTGACGCAATCCTTTGCCGATGAGAGTTGGCAAATAAATCACTCCTTTTTTTTTTGTTGGTTAGCATCAGGTAAACTCCATTTCCTATTTCCTACAACTCTTATTATTTCATTGTTGCAAACACTATCTCATCTACGATTGATATGATCAATGCGCGAACTCTTGAAAAAACGATAGGGAATCTGCTATTACAGGAAGCAATTGAAAGAAACTGCTGCCAAGGACAAAGATCGGAAAGAAAAGACGAAGCGGCTTATGGGAGGGCTACAGTCACAACAAGGCGAATGGAATAAGGAATTGTGGGAAAGTGGTAAAAAGCCAAAAAAGTGAAGCTCACCTCATTAAGAGATCGAATATTCTAGCAGGAATGTTGTTGAATTGGTTACTGTTATTGTTTTTGTTAGTGTTGTACGTGTTCACGATTACCATCCTTGATTGTTGTTGAGTCTTAAGTTGAACTTTCCTTCTTGATTTGTTTATTTTCTCGACCATTGTTTATAATGATTCATTGAAAACCTTGTTAAGATTGTAAAAACTTTCTAGAGTATTTGTGAAAGCAACTTTGATAGGTTATTCACCACTTTCCTTGCTTATTTCTTGTTTTTCACCAGGAATAATCCATAAGTAGATCTGAATAACACTGAAGGCAAATAAACTCTCAGTTCAGTTAGTAGAGTCATCTGAGTTTGGTGTTTTTACGCTACAAATATCTATCATTGATTGAGGCATAATTATGGGCGCAATAGAATTCAAAAAAAAAAATATGAAAAGTAATTATATGGTCGCCATTCACCTCACAAAGTTATACTCAGTGTGTTTTTGGAAGCTTTTATTGTTGTCAATGAGAAATTTCACGTGGTATCGTGTACCCGTTTTCTCATAGCTGAGGCACCCATTTAATATTACAAAACAACAGTGTTCGGAAGGGTCTGCTTGATTAGGAAATAGTCAACTCCTATCTTCTCTTTCTTCAAGACCTGGATTCACAAAGGTGACGGTAGGGAAAAGATCTAAACGCGATCAGTACCGAGCGAGCAGATATAATATGTAGATTGGTATCCAAAGAATCTGTTTTGGTTGAAAGAAGCAAGGTTTGGGAGTAGGACAAACGTTTACTCTGAGGAAAAAGTCCAAGGAGCTGGGGGAGAGCTATAATCTTGCTTCAATCAGCAATGCAAATTCTCCTTTCATTTTCCTGCTTTACTTTCACTTCACTAGATAAACGTCGTTCGAAAGTTCGTGTCAGCTGAGATCCTATTTCAGAGGGTTTCATCAGGAGCATGAATTTGTGTCATAGCGACGTGCAGCGTTCGTTGCTTTCGCTTAATGTTACAGGGGAGGGTTCTTGTACCGGGATTGGGACAAGTTTTAATCTCACAAGGCTGGCGAGCTATGAGCAGAACTTCGGCGCCGGACGGTACTCGAAGCCGCACCTGTATTGTCCAGGCACCATGCTCATATCCCTTACAAGACCAAGACCCAGCTTGCTTTCGCTTTCTTAATGGCTTAACATCTGTAACAGAGCAGGAATAACAGCAGTTGACGAAACATGAAGTCAAAACGGTTACAGCACGAAAAGCTTAGAGCCTAACTGTTCAATACTGATATGTGCTGACCAGTTTAACTCTTTGTACGTGTGAGGCTGATAAGCTATGGCATAAAAGCCACGATGAAGAGCAGGCCGGTCCCGGCAGTCCCGTAGGAGGCCGAAGATATGTTCATAACTCGCCAACCTTGTCAGATTTTCGGATCGCGTAGTGCAGTCATATAGCTGCAGTTCGCAAGACCTCAAGTCACAACAAATCTCAATTTTTGTGGTGCGGTTTTCATAATGGATAAAATTGTCATTGCCATTCGATGACGCGAGACTACCATGAAATATCTGCCGCTTGCGTTAATGCAAACCTGGATATTCGGACGCAAATCACCTCTTTATCCTTGAAGCGCATGAAAGACGCCGAGTGTAACTGGTACTCTCATTGCATCTGACGATATTCAATGCTGTTCAACTGATTACAACGCTTGGATAGTTTTCCCATTGAAATTCCACCTGTTAGAGTTATCCAATGTGTCACATGTACATGAACTCATCCGTCATTCCTCCTATAGGCTACTGAACAAATTGCTGCCAATACGCACATCGCGATCACCACACAGATTGACTCTTTTGTCATAACCCCTGTTTGTTTAGCATTAAGCGAGACCTGATCTCGGCATCATGGCCAACGCAGAAATCGAATGTATCGTCCGTGATACGAAAGAACTGATGTTTCAAATAGGCAGCGGTAGGTAATTGGAATTAATCTTATCTCTTAGTGAATGGTACATCGATTGTTATAGGAGACAGGCGACTCGATGAGATGATTCGACGAGTAAACACTGTAAATGAAAAGATTGCGTGTATGCGAGAGTATCAGAATATTATGAACGCTGTTAATGCATATGCCATTAACGGATCACGAAGAACAGTTCTCTTGGAAGAATTGCAAAGGGAAAACAGGCAGATTCTAGCCTATCATGTAAGCCAGCTTTATTGTTGTTTTTTTTTTCATTTGGCTACTACATTTATGCCTTTTATCCACAACAAATTACGTTCCCGTTCGATACAGCTATGTTTCCAGTGGCCCTGGGTCGAATAAACCATTCCAACTTTTCGGACATTACTGGCACACCGGAATAATTTTAATGTCGGTGTCATCAATGTCCATTTCAATTATAACACATAACATCAAAATATAAGAATTCCGCTCTCTGTTTAGAATGCATATTTGATGAAAACAAGTGCAAAGCGCCAGGATCCTGCGTATGGTCAGGATATCAAATTTCGAACCATCAATTTTTCAGTCTAACCGAGCTTCCCATCCCTCTATGGTCAAACAGTCGGTCCGACTTGTACGGTAAGCTAAGAGTGGCGGAACTCCTCCTCGAATTCCCACAGCAAGCGGCAATGATCACGCGGCGGCTGCCCAATCCTTGCACTGGGAGTTCAAACCTTTCCCTTCATAGCACCCGGCTGGAGGTGCGGCGAACGCGACGCCACTTTCGAGGAGAAGATACCGGTCCCGTAGGATAAAAGCGTCGCGCAACCACTGGCGCTGCAGTTCATTGTGGGCTGCGTCACAATCGAACAATGCTGCGAATACATTTTTCTACGACCTGCATGACCATGCGATATACAAATGTGTCTTTTTTCCTACTATAAATCTTCTTGGCGGATCGGGTGTGTTATTTTGAACCCGAACAGCATATCCAGATCGCCATACCCGATGACTTGCATTTGCATGCTGTAAAGAGGAAGATTCGAATTTTCGCTGGAAGATCACGGTTTCACCTCCACTGCGCGTGCAGAATTCAGGGAATAAAAGGTGCCGTTCTGGCGGATTTAATAACTACTACCGGAAGGAAGGAAAGCTGGCTTAATCTATTCGGTCGTGTATCCCAAGGCTATAATACGTTCTCCACCACATGCTTCATCTCAAATTTCATTTTGTTAAATTTTGATTTGGTTCTCGAAGCTGGGAGGGTGATATGTAGGTTAAATGTGATGTTCTCATCCACACGGTCTTCAGAAGCAAGCAAAAAGCTCATTCCCGCTTGTGCTCACGTTCCTAAACATTGAAAAATTTTGAATGTGAAGCATTGTGGATGCTTTCTGCAGAATAAAACGCAGAGGTAATTGGTAGAAATATTTCACTCCTTGGACTGAAAAAGACATGATCATAAAGCTGTTCCAGGAAGAAAATCGAAATCTTCGAGAAGCTATCGATGAATCGATGGAAACTCTTGCCAAAGTTATGGCTCGACACCGTCTTGTTATGGCTAGAATGAACAGGTGGTTGGCTACTGCAATACACAATGTTAAGCTGAAAGGCCCTGAATGGATTTGGCAAAAGATGTTTCGAGTTTGAGATTTGAATTGTTCCGTTTAGGTTGTCAAAGCAACCATCATTCAAGGATGTGACTGGCATATTTCCTGATGATTGCGACAATACCGCAAGCGACAAGGAGCGGTTCAGGTAGTGCTTCACAATCTGTAATCTAGGACTTTTGCTCAATTATTTTTTTTAGAAAACTTGTCACTGAAACATCAAGCTTCATGAAAGAATGCGAAGATTCTACATCCGTTGATCTGCAGAAGTTATCACAACTGCTACAGGAGAATCAAGTGCTTCGGTAGTAGCTCAGTTTGCGTTTTGATTACAGAAACCAATGCTTAGCCTGGGCACTTGCCTCTAACGGTAACCTTGTTGTTAGTGTTAGCCCAAACGAATGATTCAGTGCAATCCTTGGTCACTCCATCCGTCCGAGAAACGTCTGTTCCCGCGACGGATGGAGTGACCAAGGATTGCATCGAAAATAGCAATAGCAAAAATGCATTCTTTCTATCTTGGTTATCATTCAGATTATGACACTTACCCGCAAACATCAACATCACCGTAGCTCCCATAGTTTGCCAAGGGTTCTTTGAGATAGAGTTTGGAATACAATGAAAAAGCTTCATTTTGCGCGTCGTCAGATATAGTAGAACTGAGCCGTTGGGGCCTGCTTCTCAGGATGTCTGCCATTTGTCAGGCTGTCACACAACTCTAGTTTGCTTTTACCTCTTGCAGTGCATTTTGGGAGGTGATGCATTTTTTAGAGTGTCAAATTATAGAATTAGTATAAATTTTGAGTTAATGTGACTTTTGTAATGACTTAAGAACACATATTCTTGCTCTCTTCAATGGGGTCAAGTGAGTAGATGTGGGCCGCGAGAACAAAAATAAAAAAAAATCGGTCAATGCGGCCATGCACTTTCCCACCGAATACAAAAGTTTTTAAGAGAAATGCTATCGACGGCGGCAATCTCAACTCCTGGCGTGAGAAACGTATTTGCGCAAGCAATGACTGAATTGAAGCGGAAGAGCACAAACGGCATCCCTTCCGACGTGGATACTGGCAGTGACACTGACGACAGGCATAACGAAACTGTCATTGAGGTATAGCCTTCTGCCGAACAGTGTGTGCCATTGACTGTACATATCCTGTTAACCTATTGAATCGAGTTTTTATTATTCGAAAGAGATGCAGGGGGGGGGGGGAAGCTGGGGAGAACCGAAGAGGGAGGGAAAGCTTTAACTAAAGGTTGACAAAATTCGGTGATTCACTCAGAGGTGAGCTAGGTTTTGTCGAATTTCTGGGTCTCCTTACCACAGTTATTATATTCGTAATACAGTCCTATATGTATATGCCGTGAAACTCAAAACTTTTGGAACTTTTTCATTTTTATGCTAAGGAAAGAAGAAACTGGTGGATAACTCTCCCCATTGCTATGGTTATGGTCGAAAACCATTGATAAAGCGAGGGCAAGAGGGGTTTTGGAAGTGCTAGGAAGGAAGGGCACGGCTTCTGGAAAGCACATGAGCTGGTTCTAGTCTCGCCTGAGACCAAAGTTATTCCAGTTAGGTCCATATTCCGATAATCTTGTGGTATCAGATGTCTGGTATGATACAAGCAAATGGACAATGGGTTGCCTGAAGTCCCTTGTACTGTGAGAGAGGAGGAACCACTCACAAGCGTTGACAGAAGACTCGAGCTCCGAAGACTTTGCTGTCCAGAAGAAGCTCGCCATGGCTGCCATAGCGAAGGCAAATATTACAAAAATCGACGCTTTGTAAGAGTTGCTTGACGGTCAAAAAGGAGAGTAGTTCGTCTCCGACTGGCCAAAGCTCGGTCGGGCTATTTAAGACATCGGAGTAGAGTGTATTGTAAAGAACAGTGCAGTGCGGGGGAAGCCTGGTGATGTCAAGCAAAGAGAAAATATTTTGATGGAACCTGAAAAGAAGTGTTCCTTCATGAGAACAGCTCCCAAATAGAGGCGAGGCTGAACTCATCACACTCTGTATAGAGTATGGGGTAACTGAACTTGTCACTCAGTCGCTCAAGAGGCCATTAGTTCCTCATCCCAGGTAGATATAGTATGATGAGAAAAAATCTTATCAAATTTCTACATTACATTATCAACATTTTTCTACTAATCTGTCTATTAATTTTTTTCAGAAGCAACATGAACGGGAATGATCGCAAGTGATATGTGTACATGCATGTTTTATAAAGATAAAGCATTTTACTGACCCATTTCAGTTGTGGTTTTTGAGCCGTCTTATTTATTTTCCTTTTATTTTCTGTGAAAACACATAGTGTATTTTTCTCAGCGGAATAGTCAGACCGTCGCTATGAAAAAGAGCGAGCCACTGTTACAAAAAAAGGCTGCAAAGAGGAGAATATCCATCTCGGCGTCCAGAAGGAAAAAAAGATTCAGAAACTGCGACACGCTCGCTACGCTGGAAGCAGCTTTTAGAACAAATAGCAAAAATGGAAGTGTAGGAGAATAATGGAAGGGAATTAGTTTGCTCATGGATTAGCGTCGAGTTTGAACCAAAATTAAAAATCTGTTGGAAGGATCCGAAAATGTGAAGTTAGAATAGAAGTTAAAGAGAAGAAAGTAGAGGGATCGTGTGAACACGAAGGGGATGGGTTCTTTATAGGTGATATGGATCCAAAGTGCGAAAATTGAGAGGGATTACTGACTGCTAAGCAGAGTGCCGAAAGCCTTTTATGGGGGGGGGGGGGGGGGGGAGTGAAAACTAAATTTTATTTAATTATCATAGGCTATAGTAATCACAAGGTGTGTTCATGCTCGCGTTGATAGCCAGAATTACGATCCGAAACCAATAATTCGCTCCGCCAGGTACATACCACAGCATGATATAATTTCTCAACAAAATTATTCCAGATTTCGAGAGGCAGTTTCATCAAACCCATTGATTGCGTCCATTCTTGAATAAATGAACGTCTCATGCACTGTATCATAACTTTTTTTTTGAAAAAATTTGTGTGCTCAACACTACCGCTAAGTATTGCCAGAGCGCTCAAGAGTAAACACATGGGATCTCTTTTATCTGAAGAAGCACACTTCGAACCGGTCGATTCGCTCAAGCCATATATATCTTGTACATTCACTCTTTTACAAAATAGAGCAGTGAGATTTGGACGGGGTTTGCGTCGAACTGAACAGAGTTCAAGAACATTTGAGTGGATGTGAAATAGCAAATGAAGGTAGGTCGAATATAATGTCTGTGGTGGATGGGGAGTGTGCCAAGGTAGGCAGAGCAAGTATCAAATATATACAACGGTGTTGAAAAAGTTTAAAAGACCACAGAAAGAGAGAATGTGCCGAGCTAAACCACGCGAGAATCGAAAATTCACAACTCTGTTGAAAACGTCACAAAATTTCAGAAAAAGGTGGGTTTGAGTTGGCAAAAGAGTAGTATTTGGCTGAACATGGTAGCCTGCGTGTACTAATGGGTGTATGGTGCTTAGGCTGACTGTTCGCAGTATCGTTTTGGAATGCCGGCTCCCTATATTAGGTTCGCAACGACTTGTGAAACTCCTTACAGTCCATATCAGTTGCAATCACCTCCTGTCATCAGCAATTCCCCTGTACATCATATCGCCCATCTACATGCTAGGACCCTACGCTACCAAAGACGAAAAGCGTAACAGGTCCTGGTTACAATATTCTTGTGCCGTGCAAGGTTGTTAGGTGGAACTTTTATTAATCACAACGGCCTAACTTTTCGACGTTCTCGTCGTCTTCAAAGGCCTAAAGCAATTCGAGACATTTGCACACTATCCAAAAAGCGCATTACCCCCTGACGAATGTGACGGCGATTCAAAACCCATAATTGAAACATAACTCGCCAAGGTTCCACCGCTCAAGCGGAATAAAATCCGCTGTCGCTACAAGCGACTGTCAGTAGCGAATGAGACTTATCGGCTGTCTCCCTTACACTTGTGATACTTGTGATAAGGAAGATCACGTTAAATGCTACTGAGTCACAAGTCGCAGTGCGGTATATATGGCAAAAGATCGTTGGTCATGGACGGGCACTCATCTCTACCGTTCATTTTAGGATTTCTTTTGAAAATCCATAACGCCTCTAATGCCTTTCTCGCTGAAATCTCCGTCTCCTGCGCTAATATCGTGCACTTAACTTCGAAGTTGTCGCCGTTATGCTCCTCAATTTTATGCCTTCCAAGCGCTGTTATCAGGCTGCCACGCTTCATACTAGCTAGATGTTCTTTTATTCGTGTAGCTAGTTGTCTCCCCGTTTCTCCGGTGTAGGTTGTCCCACATGTCCGGCATTCTATCTGGCCTATCAGTTCCGTTCTTGAACCGGCTCTTCGATTCTGCCCATAAAGCACACAGCAAGAACCGGTGCTTGTCCCATAGCAAGACCTTTGACTTGAGAAAAGTACTTTCCTGCCCATTTGAAGATGTTACACGTGGTTCTAGAGCGGAAGCCTTTAGTGTACTATAGATATATCGATGACTATTTCATCGTAACATCAACACAGTTCGAAATGGACGAGTGTTTTCGTATCATGAATGAACAGTCGCAGTACATTAAACTCACCCGAGAAGTTCTACGTGATGGTTGGTTCCCTTACCTCAACACTCAGGTCAAAGTATCCAGTAGCGTTGTTAGTGTGAAGTGGTACGGTAAAACTAACTCGAAGAATATCTTACTTCACGCTACATCGGCTCATCCACAAGCCGTTAAACATGCAGTCATCAGCAACATGTTGAGAACAGCAACAAGTGTTTGCACGGGTGGAGCTTAACAACTGGAATTCCGACGTTTAGCTTGTGTGATAGCTGCTGTGAACGGTTATACGGTATCATAAGGTTGTAAAAATCTAGCACTAATACACAGCATGTCACGCCTCGAAATAAGTTACCACTATGTCTTCCTTTCATCTCCGATAATGTTAGCAATGCTATACAGCGGAGCATTTTCAGAGCTGGGCTGCAAGATGTTGTGCAATTAGCAAATATTCCTAATAACAATATCAAGCAACTTTTAGTTCGGAATAGGCTCTACGACAAGCAGTGCATAACGAAAGATTGCATCATATGTCCTTACGGTCCTTGTCCTTAGGACACCAATGTTAGTTGGCAGGATTCGATTCCGAGCAGGGCGGGCCTAAGGCATTCAAGTTCGCTAAGAATAAAGGCGGCAGTAGGGGAATGCTGAAAGAAGGTGGCATAACTTCGTTTACAGGGGCGAGACCAACGCAAAAGTTACTAATTTTGACCTGAGGCGTTCAAATTTACAGGGTGCGGCAAAAGTTCTGGCAAAGGCCCGTTTCAGGTCCTCGGTAAAAAATGAGGCCTTCGATTTCGACAAGATCTGTGCCATTACTTACTGCAAGTGCTCTTCTATACATTCCATGAATTGGCCGTTCTTGAACATGCCATTTTACAAAACGGTGACAAGCAAAGGCCAGCGAGCCTCCAACCTGCACCTCCATCTGGCTGCTACACGGCAGAAACCATCTTCAAACAGCTCTAGATTCCCTTCGGAACCATGTACAACAACGTCAACAGATACAAGGCGACAGGAAATATGGAGAACAAGCCCAAAAGTGGAAGACTGAAGAGAACAACGACAAAAGAGATCGTGAAAATCATTCGAGAAAAGAATCCGCCACCACCCTCTTAGGTCCAAGAGGAAATTGGCTCCTCAGGTAGGTATTTCTGCTCGATCTGTTGAAACGATTGTCACCAGCCACCTTCGACTGCGCTGTTATAAGAGTAGAAAAGCTCACATGCGCATGAAGAAAACTAGGCTCAAAGGATGTAAGGAGCTATAAGAGCGATTTTCGCGCTCACGAAGCGGAATGTCCAATAGGCAGTTTGTAGGATGCTCTCACCTACAAGCGGCCGTTAGTCGCAAGAAAATATCATGAAGTGCTGTTCGACCACGAACATGCCAGACCCCATGTTGCGAAGAATGTCCTTCAAAAAAATTGCAGTTGTTGCATGGTATCAGCTTGTTCAGCCCGCATACTCTCCAGATTTTGCTCTTTCTGATTACCACCTACTCCGGTCCATTCAAGTCAGTTTGGCAGATACAAGCTTCCGGAATGCCAAAGAAGTGCGAAAATGGGTGGATAAAAAGATTGCTTCAAAAGACTGAAGACTTTTTTAGACCCGGAGTCAACAAGATCAGAAAGATGGCAAAAAGTTGTAGCTAACGATAGGCACTACATTGGTTAATCTACATTTGGTTTTAATTTTGTAATAAGTATGTTTTTGCACGCGAAAAACGGCGGAAATTAATGCACACACCTAATATAAGTAGGATACGTCCAGTAAAGGTTTTCGGCCATTCCCACTAAATGGTCATCCGCCAATATCTCAATCAATCTCCCTTCACAGAGGTAATTTCTGCATATTTCTGATTGAATTTCTCTAACACTTGGAAGTTCTTGCCCTTTGGCTCTTTGTAAACTCCCGCACCAGCACATGTCACGGCTCATGGGTAGTTTAACAGATGCATATGTGTATCTGTGTCCACATCTGCCAAGGTCGATCTTGGGGTAACTTGATGTACTACTAACTGCAAGCAAATATCGGACCAACGGATAGGCTGTCTTCTATCGTGCGTTCCATGAGGCACCAACCATGATTTGATCTCGTGTTGCATTCTCGTGTTCTACTAACTTATCCCTTTTCGCAAGGGGCCGTCCTCACCGAAAACCTTATTACACCTTGCTCCGATCGCCTGTTTGAGCTGGGAAATGTCTGTTCCAATAATCTCCGCCGTTTTTTTATACTCCGCCCACTCCTCCTCCTACTCTATACAGTGTCTGCAATTCTCTTCATTAGCCTCTCCGGAATTGCAGGACTGCGAGGTATCTCGTTCATAAGTTTTCGATTGTCTTCCTTCTATAGCCCATTCTTTTTCTAAACTACATTTCACTTCCTTAGCTATTTTTGCTCTGGATATTTGTTTGTTGTTGTGTGTTAGTTTGTTAAAATGCTTCGTTTTGCTCTTCACACCATCTTCACACAACCCCACCAGTTTCCACAACTTTACGTGGAAATCCATTCGGAATTGCTCATATCTGACAGTACGTGCTATTCTTGCTCCTCCATCATTATATCATTAGAGTCTTCTCTTGTCATCGTGCGTTGGTTTGGGGTTTGGTGCTCTTTGCGGACAGCCATG